TGAGATTATCTTATCCATCATTCAACATCTACACTCAAAATCTCCATTACAACTCTAGATCATACAACAACATCAAGGCATTTCTACCTCAAATGAAAGAAGAGGGTTGAACTAGGGAATTTAAACTTACCTTAAGCTTCAATCTTTTTCAATTCCTCATTGATCCTATCCTCTTCCCCCCTTCACTCTTAGGGAATATTTTGAACTAAACATTCATGAGTCAAATGGTTCAAGAACCCATATACATATCTATACATATCTATAAGACATTAATAAGACAAAACTCAATCGTTTAATCATCCAAAATTGAAATTTCACAGAAACGCTTAATATTACCCAAAAATTATGTTGATCACATATATGAACTCAATTGCAGATACTTAAGCCCCTAAGGCCTCTAATTTCTAATTCAAACTTTATAGTTGCAACAAATACTTTTCTTATTAAACAGATAGGCATCCTTACACATGGGGTTCACTTACTTAACCTTAATTTCTCATAGGATTTCACAATAAGCATTCCAAAAGCACAAAACAGGGACTGAACATATATCAGAAATCAGAAAACATGTACGAGGGTCGGGTTATTACACCGTCCCTCCGCAGGCATCTATCTTTCCATACCTAGAGGTCGTCCTCGTTATAATATTCGCTTCCGTCCGATTTCTTTGGTACGTCACCTTCTTGGCCGACGTCTTTCTCTCTAGGATTCTGATCTCGAGTTTCCTTATTGCAATTATCTTCCTCGACGTCAAGGTCAACATGTTTGCCACTTCCAGTAGGGATGTTGTCCCCAACCTTCTCTTTCTGTCCATCATTGGCCATCTATTCTCCTTTCTTTCCCACAAACGGCGCCAAATTGTGTGTGTCAATTTCCGACCACACTATCAAACAAGTACTCAGCTGAAAAACACCGGCAGAATAGATTAAGCTCGAACGACCTGTCACAGAAAGATAAGATTCCGGTGGTGGTTTGTCTACCCGGGGGCACTCCGACGATCAAGTCAGTTATCTCTCAAAGATAGCCAAAGTTTTTAACTCACTATTCAGAATATAAAAAACATACATTAGATCCACGAGGGTGCCTTACTTTTATAACCAACACTGACCTAATCCCTATAGAAGCCTAACTTCAATGGACTCTGACTCAATGTCTATCCAAGACTCTCAAATAGATAAAAATAAACTCCCTAAGAGCTTTATCCTTATCCAGGCTGAAGTCCTTCCTCATTCTAGGACTCTTGAAACTTATCCGCTCATTTCAGATTCTGGTATCTCTGCAGATAACCTCAGCCTAGCCGAGATTACCTCGGCGTCAAGTCAAGGACACGTGGCACCTCGGCTGGTATTTCGGTGCCACCTTGGCCACGTGTTGCTATCCAAAAAATATGTCCACACAGTATGGGTATTTTGTCTAATTCATAGCCTGATTCACAATCGATACTATCAAATGGGCTATTATAAAAACTTTTTGCGATTAGTGATTTAAATATTTCATGACAACATGGCCTAATTTATCATATTGCTACACTGCGACCAATATTCAATTTGTGATACTTTAAAACCTTGAGATGTAGACATCAATTTCTAAAGGCTACTAGAATGTATATGATTTGTTTGCATTGATGAAATTTATTGCTAAGTTCATCTTACTAGTATCGATTTCCTTCTACAGGGAAGCATATGCTTGTTTAAAGGAAGAAGACACGGATACAAGTTGTTGCTGTAACTGCATCCAAGATGTCCAACCAAGACCGTTAGATCCCAATGACATATATCAACAATTTCATATCGTTCCTTACCATAGAGGTGGTCAATTTTATGCCAACTCAATTGTGCCAGATGGGATTCCTCCAAACTTCTTGAGAAGAAAAGGGTGCTGCATTCGTACTCAAACCCCCCAAAACTACCAACTTAGTGAAGCACTAGGCATCAACACTGCCCTCCGTGATCGCCTTCCATCATTCGATCTCCCATTATCCTACTAGAGTTTAGAAGCCATTGTTGTAGGGAAGTGGTATTGTCCTTTCATGTTGTTTATCAAAGATGGAACATCGAGAGATCAGATGAAAAAGTCAATGTTTTATGAGATGACACTTGAGCAAAGATGGAAGCAAATATTCCTTGTGAAAATGGTTATAATCAGGGGAATGTTGTGTTTGTGGATGTTGCAGTCCAAACAGAAATAGTCACTGTAGGGGGCAGAGAAGCAGTGTGGGATGAGAATAGAGTGGCCAATGGGGTGATTTGGTTTACGAGCTTTGTTGGTGTAGGAGAACAAGTGAATATTGGGTTGAGCTCGCTAATTGTTGACAGAATGAAATGGGAGCAAGAGAGAGGAGGGTGGCTTGGCGGCCAAAAAAGGCAAGTTAGTGTGAACAAAACAGAGAATGTACGGATTGGTGTTGGTGGGTGGAGTAGGTTTGGTTGCTATGTGCTGGTTGAGAGGTTTGTGTTGAAAAGAATGGATAAAAGTGTGGTATTAACCTATGATTTCAAGCACACTCATGTGATTAGGAGCAAATGGGAATGAAAAGTGTTTGGAACTCTAAAAAACTTTAATTATCCTGATATTGTGTGTAGGTCCTATAGTTTGATTTTATACTTGTATTTGGATTGGGAATTAGAAAATGTATACTATTGGCACATTACTGGTCCAAAAAAATAAAATAAATTAAATTAAAAATAAAAAATAAAAATAACTATTGGCACATTACTAAATTTATTATATTTTTTGCCTTTATGTTTTACTAATGAGGAAATATCATTTTGTCTTCCTAAACTATCACTCAAAAATCAATTTAACCATTATTCTTTTAATAATATCAATTTTGCACCTAAACTATTTGATTTTAAATCAATTTTACCTCTGTCATTAGCTGCCGTTTATATCAAACAAAAATTACTGATGTAACACCGAAATTTCATTTGAAATTTTATTTTACCTATCCAACTATCACTAAAATATCAATTAAACTCTCAAATTTCATTTTATTTAGGAGTGTAATTGATATTGTGGGAATAGTTTTGTAGTAAATAAAATTTCAAGTCACGTTTCGGCGTTACACTAGCAACTTCTGTTTAATCATAGACAGTAATTGACGATGGGGTAAAATTGATGCAAAATCAAGGCCTCATTTGGGAACTTGACGATTTCAATTAACTTTTTTGTTATTTTATCGGACGAAAAATAGTATTGTTTTGGTTGATTTATGAATTTTTTTGTAATTGAATAGATTGTTGTGAGAGAAAAAGTAATTGAATGATGTATAAAATATGATATATTATCTTATTGATTTTTATTTATTTTTGGTCTTTTCGGCTATTTTAGCCAAAAAAATTTATTGCCAAACCCCCGCAAATAATTTAGGTATAAAATTATGAATATTATCAAAGGAGCAGGAATTGAATTAATTTTTGAATAATAGTTTAGTGGATAAAATGATATTTTTTCTTTATTAATTATATTAAAACACGTATTTTTGTTTTTAATATATAGGACACATTATTGATGACAAAATTAAAATAATTATAATTATAATTATTATGAAAATAATTAAAAATTATTTGATTATAAATTTCTTTTTTCATAATTTAAAATATTTTTTAAATTTTTATTTAATATTAATATTATTTTTAAAATATTTAAGTGATACCGTGCATTGGACAGATGGGATGGATAGTAACATATACGGAAAATGTCGATATATGTATGTCCGGCCGACGGTTAAAACAAAGCCACACACGTGGCACACATAGACGGCGAACTGTTATGGATCCACCACGCAATAAAGATTAGATTAGAGTCTATATTATTTATAAAAAAAATTAAATTAATTTAATAATTAAAATAAATTTAATTTATTACCTTTATTATAAAAAAAAATAGATAATTTGTTTTTAAATCCACATTTATAGTTTATTTTTTTATAGACAAATACGATAAATTAAATATGTTATAATTATTAAATTGATTTAATTTTTTATTTATTTATAAATTCTACAAACTGAAAAACACTCTCTAATTCAAATTTTAAATTAGAGAAAATCTCATCTCTTAAACTATCAGTAAAACTTCCAGTCCGAGAAATATTGCTAGAAAACTTGTTCATAATTGAAAAATGTGATCAAAATAAGAGAGTGGTTATTGGAGGCTTGTTCTAAAGTGTTGTGATTGGTGGAAAAAGTACGATTTATGATTTTATGTTAGGTGATTATGAAATATGAGAAAGTATAGTATATGATAATTAGTGAAGAAATGATTAGTGAAGGAATATGAACATATGCTGCTCCAAGAATATTAAATAATTTTTTCACCATATGAGTGTTTTGTGGGTACATGTAAAAATTAAATTTAGACTACACATTGATATTTGTCACTATATAGGGTTGAACTTTTCTCAAGTTGAAATCTTAATTTGAGAAAATTTGAGAGGGTTTGGTGGGGTTCACCACGAGTCTTATTTTAATGATTCGAATTATTTATTTTGTAAGGCTCTCAGCGTATATTATCTATGAAAAAAATTAGGATAACCCAATAATCGTAACTTTTTTTATTTTAATGTATTTGTCTCCAAAATAAGGAATGATAAGTATGTTTTTAAAAATAAATCATTCATTTTTTTAGAAATACATAAGGTAAAATGAAAAGGTTACGATTATTCAAATCGATCTAATTTTTTTTTATGTATAATATACATAGAGAATCTTATAAAATAAATAGTTCGGATTATCAAACGGAACCCGTACTGAGCCCTACAGAATCCTCAAGTTCTCTCAAATTAAGATTTGAACTTGAAAGTAAGTCGACCTAATTTAAATCATTGAAACGAAACTCGATACAAGTCTTACAAAAAGCTCAATTTTTTTAAATTAAGATTTGAATTTCAAAAATTGCTCAACCCTTATCAATAAAATTTCTAAAGTGAGTCGATTAGCAAGTTAATTGATTTTGAACGTATGCGTCAACTTGACAACTTTTAACATATTTTAATTTTGGATTTGGTTAAAATTCTTTATATATAGACATAACAAACATAAAAGAGAGAAGTTTTTTTTCTTTTGGACACAGAGATGTATGTAACAAGGTTGCTTTCCCACATCCAGAGATCTCCGGAATCTCTTTCATTGCCACCAGATGGCCCAAATTCAGGTTACTTGGTGATCCAAGACAAAGAATCAAAGACTACTCCCTTTTTCGGATTTTTGAATGTGCAGGACCTGCCTTTGCCTCAGAACAAGAAGTTGCATGTCAACTACTTCTCTGATGATGAAGAAACAACCTTTGTTCCAGTTGTTAATAAGCCCTTGTCTTCCAATCTCTATTATGCATTAAAGCCTCATGGGTCTCGCAAAGGGTGTGTATCCTAAATCAAACTTCTTGACTTTTGTGTTTCATTGTCTTGCATGCCAAATCCATACTTGGACTCCACCATAAAATAAAAAAGTAAAATTCAGATTGTTATGATATTTATAACATGCATGTTAGCAGATTTATTTAAAATATGAATTATTTTTTATGATTTAAAAATTACATTGTATCCTTTTAAATTTGGAATTGCATGAAAAATAATTTCCTTTACTAATAAATTATTAAATTAATTACCAGTTTTCAATTATGTCACAAATATATTTTAATTAACAATTTTAGTAAGTTTATTGTTGTATAAGCGAGTAGTTCAAAATTATATTTTTTCAGTTAATCCTATTAAATAAAAAATTCTGACAATAGAGTCTTTATAATTTTCAAAGTGGGCAATTTGTATTTTAAGTAAATTTCAAGGGTATATTTGTAATTTATCCTATATATACTCATAAAAATGAACGACAAATATAATTTAAAAAGTATAACATTTAAAAAAAATAAATGTGATAATATTATGTGATTATAATTATTGAATCAATCTGTTTTTTTAAAATGATCAACTCACAAAAAGTTACAAAATGAACGATTTGTATTGTTAAAGTAAAACCCATGATAAACTTCACAGATCTAAGCATGACCCTCCAATTTGTTGTGTCAACCGGATAAAACTCATTCCCTAATTTTATAGCAGTGAGAAATTAAGGTGTTACCATGGTCAAGCAGAGTTCTGACCAAGAGCTATCCAAGTAGAAGTGTACAATCATACATTGCAGACCATAATTAAGACCAGCATTGATTATAAAAAAAAAAATTAGGGCGTTTGTAGAGGGTGTGTTTGGACTGGAATTTGCAGAGAGAAAGAAAATGAAATGAAAAAGTGAATAATATAGAAAATAAATTTTGTTCATTTTTTCCTTTTGTTTTCATTTTACTTCACAAATTTTTCGCTAAATTCAAAGATCTAAAAACAATTTTAAGGTATTTCATAAACAATATAAAATCTAACTTGCCCAAAATAGGAGAAATGTTTTTTTTCAGTGCATTAATTTGTACCAAAATTTTAAATATAGACCGATATTTTAACAATTTTTTGGACTCCCAACACTCATAGATAAAAATTGTATATGTATAAGTCAGTTTGCAATACGTATTGGTATTTTGTCTAATTCACAGCCCGATTCACAACCGATACTATCGAATGGGCTATTATAAAACCTTATTGTGACTAGTGATTTAAAAATTTTATGATAATGGTCACCTAATTCACCAAATCGACCAATAGTTGTTTTTGTGATACTTTAAAACCTTGAGATGTAGACATCAATTTCTAAAGGCCACTATGATTTGTTTGAATGGAGAACTTATTGATAAGTTTGTCTTGCTAGTATTGGATTGCCTTTCATAGGGAATCATATGCTTGTTCAAAGGAAGAAGACATGAGTAGTAGTTGTTGTTGGGGTAACAGCATCCAAGATGTTGAACCGAGACCAATAGATCCCAATGACATATATCAGCAATTTCATATCATTCCTTACGAAAGAAGCCTCAACAATGGTGGTGCATTTTCTGCAACATCAATTGCACCAGATGGTTTTCCTCCACACCTTTTGAGAAGAGAAGGGTGGCACATTTTGACTGAAACCCCCAAAACTATGAACTAGGTGAAGCACTAGGCATCAACACTACCCTCCGAGCTCACCTTCCAGCTTTTTATTTTCCACCATCTTGCAAGAGCTCGGAAGCCATTATTGTAGGGAAGTGGTATTGTCCTTTCATGTTTATCAAAAACGGAACACTGAGAGATTGGATGAAAAGATCAATGTTTTATGAGATGATACTTGAGCAAAGATGGGAGCAAATATTCTGTTGTGAGAATGATTACAGTAAAGGGAATGTTGTGTCTCTGGATGTTGCAGTACAAACAGAAATGGTCATCATGGCGGGCAGAAACGCAGTGTGGGATGAGAATAGTGTGACGAATGGGGTGATTTGGTTTACGAGCCTTGTTGGTGTAGGAGAAGAAGTGAATATTGGGTTGAGCTCGCTAATTGTTGATAGAATGAAATGGGAGCAAGAGAGAGGAGGGTGGATTAGCAGCCAAAAAAGGCAAGCGAGGGTGAATAAAACAGAGGAGTATGCAGGGATTGGTGTTGGTGGGTGGAGTAGGTTTGGTTGCTATGTGTTGGTTGAGAGATTTGTGTTGAAAAGAATGGATGGAAGTGTGGCACTAACCTATGATTTCAAGCACACTCATGTGATTAGGAGCAAATGGGAAGGAAAAGTGTTTGGAACTCTAAGAAACTTCAATTATCCTAATTTTGTGTGTATTTCTACAGTTTGATTCTATACTTGTATTTGGATTGGGAATAAGAAAATTTATACTGGCTTGGTTTTATTTATTTATTTATTTATTTTAATTTGACAATGTTTGTTTTGTCTTTATCTTCTTATCAAAATAGTGATATTTCTTGGAAGAATATTATAGTAATCATTTGCTATGTTTAGTTCTGTCTTGCTCTGTCTTCTTTCCTATAATGTAACATTTGGTAATAGGAGTCTGAAAACAGATAAGTTTTTATTGAATGTCTAACATCTTCAGGGTCAAGCAATTCCAACTTGCATGTTTAGAATTAAATCCTAATTTTAGTGTTTGGTAGACAAAAATTTGGATTGAAATGATCATTTCTTATGAAATAACTATTCTCTCACAATAATTATTGATATTTCATCTGTAATATATTACTTTTTTAGTAAACAAAATTTAAAATGAACATCAGAAATACAAAATAAGTTTTAGTGGCCAAGAAGGTACACAACAAGAATAATAATGTGCAAAAATGAAACTTTGTGATTCATGAAGGTGAACGGTGATTTTTACCTGTGTTTTGAATAGGGAAAATTATTGAATAGTCCTATATATTTATTCTGCAAGTTGAAATATAAACTTGTTTAGTTAAACTCACTTTTTAGGAATAAAAAATTAAATTGTTTTTCAATTTTCAACACTTGTTTTTGTATAAAACTAAAAATGATGAGTCCGGATCCTCGCCCGCACATTCTTGCTGTGCTACAAAACGACGTCGTTTTGTTTTTTTTTTTTTTTTTGTCTCTTCGTTCGTCGATCGTCTCTTTGTTCGTTTTGTTCAACTGCGCCTCACTTCTCTCTCTTTGTCCAACTGCGTGGTTAGGGCTAAACAGAGAGAGACGAAGATGAAAGTAAAATAAACTAGCGAGAAACTCAAATTTTGGAGGGACAAAAAAAAACTAAATAAAACGACGTCGTTTTGTATAAAACGACGTCGTTTTGGCAAGAGCATCAGGGAGGGCCACAGGAAAGGGAGGCCGAGGATCCGCAAAATGACGTCGTTCTATATATTTTTTTTTTTTCCTTTATTTCTTATTTTTCTTTCCCCTTTTCGTTTTTGAACCCTAGACTAGACAGACTGACAGAGGCGACGATCTTGACGAGAGTCTGAGCCGACGAACAGAGAGGCGACGGAGGCAAGGCAAGGCGAGGAGAGGCGACAAACGGAGAGGCGACAGAGGCAAGGCGAAGACAGGCTGCGGTGAGGCGACTAGAGCGACAAGAGACTAATAGAGAGAGTCGGTGAAAGACGAAGAAAGAGGATGACGAGGTCCGTTTCTCTCCCTTTGGTCTTCATTATAGATTAAGATCCTTACATCTGCTTTGTGAATGTGATCCCTACGTGGTGAATTTGTGTAAAGACCAGCCATATTCTGAATTTGTGTACAAAAATGATAGAATCTGATCCCTACATTTGTTTTTAGTTTTGTATCATTTTTAGTTTTTCGGTTTTTGGTTCACATGTTTTCAAAAATAGACCCCAAAAAAATCATTTTCATTATTGTGCAAATATATATATATATATATATATGTAATTATATAGTGATTATTCTTTATTATCATTAAAAAAGATTATTGAACACCCATGAATGTACTTATAAAATTTTGTGAACCTTACCTCTATTTTTTTCACTATTTTGTTAGCATTTTGGATTTGATAGAATGTGATCCTTAATTCCACAACACATATCTATAAATCTGAATAATTCCAAATTGGTTGATTACAAATCTATAAATCTAAACACACCTCTCTCTAAGGCATCCACAAGCCTCATCACTATGAGCACATTGAGTAGTCTTCATATTAAGCATGTTTATAAGAGTTTCTGAAGTAACAGAGTGAGAGATGCAAGCTCTGTTTAGTTTCCATGGCATTTTTGTTGAGCTCTTTAGTGCAAAGCATTTGTAAGAATTGCTTATTGAGTTCTCTGAACCTCCTTAATTTGTAAAATGGAGACCATGCAAAATTGAGAGCCCCTTGGGTCTCTGCATTTCCTAAATTTTTTATTTGTTAATTTTTAAATGTACCATAGAAACTTTTAGTTGTTGTATTGTTTCCATGTACAACTAACTATAGTGGCTACTATTCATGTTTTAGCAATGAACTTATGGTTACTTTCGTCTTTTTGGGTGCTTGCAAAGAGTTGTTTTGTGCAATTAGTGTTTTTATGGTTTTATAGTCTATGAAATCTTTGTTATCAGATTTGTGTTTAATGATCTTCTAGTCAACTCTTTACTGCTTGATGCTTTGCCTAGATTTGTTGCTCAAACTCTTTGCTGCTTGATGCAGTTAGTGTTTAATGATCTTCTAGTCAACTTTTTGTTGCTTGATGCTTTGCCTAGATTTGTGATTGACTTATTCATCTTTTTCATTCTCGTAGTTTCTTTTAGTTTTTATTAGTTGCTTTGCAATATTCTGTTTTCAATTTCCAGTGAGAAGCAGCCTATAAATCATTAAAATGACCCTCATGACCTCCAATTTAACTCGAAAGCCCTTCAATCTATCTGTTTCCTAAGCACTTGTAGTCTGATATATAGTATACCCTAACAGCAATATCGTAGTGTATGCAAAATCCTTATCATTTTGTTTTCATTTACAATATTAGTTTTTTTATTCATATTCTAATTGAACATCTTCGTTTACTTTGGCTTTATATTTTTACAGATGTTAACTTCAATTGTTAATGGTAGTACGTCAAATCAATTGACATTTTGCAACAAAAATTGTCCTAAATGTCGTTAAAAAGCAACTATTCAAATTTCTGAGATAGAGCGAAACAAAAAAAAAATTATTTTATTGTTGTCAAGATTGCAATGGTTTTATTGGATGATGCTTGCCTACAAATGCACAATGTAGAGGTGAAGGAGAAGTGCAAATGGAAAATATGCCAACTATCGCCAAACACCTTCGATTTATGAGCAAACAACTTTGTTTTCAAAGCGAACAATTTCAATTTCAAAGCGCGAAGATGATTAAATTGGAAACAAACATAAATCGAAGTTGGTGTCGTATGTATGGGTTGTTTATATTGCTTGTAATTGGTATTGTATCAGTTATGAAGATGTAATAATATATATACAAGTTAGAAGTAGAAGTAATGTATTTCTCTTTGTTTATGCATGTAATGTATATATTGTAAGAATGTTGGTATCAGTAATATATTGCGGGTTGGTTGGTGCCATTTTTTGCTGATGTTTGTTGCACTTGGTGATAGAACATTGTTAATATGTTAACATTTTTATACTTTATTCCACTACAGGAAAAAGTGTTTTTTGCGACGGCAAAACGCCGTCGCAAATGGTCCGTGAGCCGTCGCTAATACCTTTTGCGACGGTAAGTTGGCTTTTTGCGACGGCAAAGGGGGGTCGCGACAAAGGGGGTTGCAAAAGAGATTTAGCAACGGTAAGTGCCGTCGCCATTGTTTTTTGCGACGGGAGGCTGCCTTTTTTGCGACGGCAATGTTCTGTCGCCAATAATGGAAGAAAATCTGACTTTTTGCGACGGCTCAGTATTTCCGTCGCTAAAAAAGGTTTTTGAGACGGCAAGAAGGCCGTCACTAAAAGTGTCGTAGCTTATACTATTGCCGACGGCAGCCTGAGCCGTCGCTAAAGGTTTTATTTTAAATTAAATTTCGTAGCTTTTGCGACAGTATGTCTGCCATCGCAAAAGCCTCCAAAAATGTTTTTGCGACGGGTTATTATGCCGTCTCAAAAAATTAAAAAAAAATAAAAAAAACCTGTTGGGAAATTATTGAAAAAATTAAAATAACCTGTATTAAATGAAAAATAACTATAAAAAAATCCAAAAATTACATAATAATATAAATACATACATAAACAAAAGTTGACAAATAATAAAATTTCATAATGTTGTTCCATTCATAACAATACAGAAATAAAAATTCATAAAAACAAAAATTATGCCACTACATAATGTCGCATACTACATACATAATGTTATTCACAAATTTAAATAACATAAATCAAAATCAAAACCAAAAGTTTTCGTCTTGATGTTATTCACAAGTTTGCGACGGGTTACAAAAAAAAAAGTTGGTAATAATCTTTGTACGCCCGCATTCCACAAGAAGCAAACTGCTACTCAGGAAATAGCTGAAAAAAACAAGATAAAAATAATTAATAACCATATAATGATGTTAATATTTTAATTACAGAAAAATATAAAAAAAAAAAATTGACTACTATATAATTAGAAAGATACACTACTAAAAAAAATACTTTTTGCAACCGTTACAAGCTGTCGCAAATAATAAAAAAAACAGTCGCAAAAGACCTTTTGCGACGGCCTATGCGACGGCAAATGGGGGTCGCGAATGTGGGGGTGGCAAATACTTTTTGCGACCGCAAAACAGCAGTCGCAAACTATTTGCGACCGCTTAATCTACTTATGGCGACCAATGTTTTGCTGTCGCAAAAAAATTTAAAAAATGCCTACAATGTATTAGCGACCATCTTGTTACTGTCGCAAAAAATTATCTCGTGCCTAGGCGGTCGCGTGTGGCAACTTTCGTGCTAAACCGACGCCGTTTGGTGATTTTGGAGCATTAACGCCTCAAATTCAAGTTTTTTAAGGAACTAGTTTGTCTAAAGTGAAATCCGGCTCTAACTCCCAAACCGGGAAACCGATTCGAGCCCCATCTTGTCCCACAAGTCTCTCGTGCGTAGGCGGTCGCGTGTGCCAAGTTTTGTGCTAAACCGACGCCGTTTGGTGATTTTGGAGCATTAACGCCTCGAATTCAAGTTTCTTAAGGAACTAGTTTCCCTAAAGTGAAATCCGGCTCTAACTCCCAAACCGGGAACCCGATTCGAGCCCCATCTTCTCTCACATGTCTCTCGTGCCTAGGCGGTCGCGTGTGCCAAGTTTCGTGCTCAACCGACGCCGTTTGGTGATTTTGGGGCGTTAACACCTCGAATTCAAGTTTCTTAACACCTCGAATTCAAGTTTCATACTTTCTGAGTCATAACTTAAAAAATAAATAAATCATAACCATACACCACATGAAGCACAACCAAAGATCTTATAAGTCTTAACTAAAACAATATCATAGTTAACGAAGATAATTCATCATAACTAAAGAAAAAAAAAATGACATAACTAATGATGCATATGATAAATGGATGTGTGTGGTAGAATTCTCCAAATTATTAGTATTCCATAATACTATGCGGCATTATTTATGAACTTGATAGATGAGTTATACAAAAACACACTAATCAAGTATATTGTCTCAAAAATTATTTAATAAAAATGGATCATTATTCTGTATATTATAATTTTGAACATCACATACATAATCTTATGTAACAAAGTAGAATAAGAAAGCCCAGTCCAAGTTTCTTTTCTATGTATATATATGGAGGCCCAATTACTTTCCATACTACAAATTACTTCCACAAACACACCAGCAAAGATCAACCAGGTAACGTAATGCCTCGCACGCTACATGTTGGGAACATTGTAAGATATGCTCTCCTTGAAAGAAAATGCAAAACCTACATATAATGAAATGATAGCAGAACTGCATTAGCTATGGTTATGAAGTTCACAGACTAGATAGATGTACAGTATAACCAAATTAAGCACAGAACCATTACCTGTTGATAGAGTGGTGACTGGAACTTAAAGTTTCATACCTGTCGATAGAGTGGTGACTGGAACTTAAATCCACAAAAAAAATAAAGGCTTCAAGTTCCTGGATCAAGTCCCGGCCTAAATTCCCAAAAGTTTATCAAATGATCAAAAAGACTACTTTTCGATAGAGTTGTCTGGAAGAAAAACAGAACAAATGATAGGTACATCAATAACAGTATCAGCAAAATTAAACTCATGATTTATTTTATTATAAGACTTAAACTTTGAGTTTTTTTTTTTTTTGTAATTTTTCATATTATTTTTTATTGGACACTTCTTATATTATTGAGAATTGCATTACTTTAGTGTTTAAGTAGTGTATATAATATGAGAAATTTGTTGGGTTATATTACGAAATTTGAAGTATACCAATGAAGTTTTTTGAAACTCTTCAATCGTGGAACTAAACTGGATTTGAACAAATTTTGCAGTTTGGTTTTGGTTCGATTTCTAAAATTTCACAATTTATGATTCCAAAATTTCTCTATGGATAGGTTTAGTACTTGGATCATCTCATAAACAAATTAAACTAGTATGTAAACACCCCTACTAAAACAATTGATTAATCAGGTTAAAAATGATTATACATCATTCACTTTTATAAGTCATGTATATTTTCATTTCCAACATTTTTAGCAAGTGGCCACAAATAAGAGACCCGTTAACAATTTTTTTTTAAATATCTAAAAATAGGTTGTGAATTTTTAAAAGTTTATTATTTTTCAAAAAAATAAAATGATTGGAAATAATGAGTGTTTCCATAAATGTTATTATTATTTATTTAAATATACAAATTAAGTGTTATTATTTATTTTCAAAAAAATAAAATGATTGGAAATAATGAGTGTTTCCATAAATGTTATTATTATTTATTTAAATATACAAATTAAGTGTTATTATTTATTTTCAAAAAAATAAAATGATTGGAAATAATGAGTGTTTCCATAAATGTTATTATTATTTATTTAAATATACAAATTAAGTGTTATTATTTATTTTCAAAAAAATAAAATGATTGGAAATAATGAGTGTTTCCATAAATGTTATTATTATTTATTTAAATATACATCTAAGTGTAGAGAGTTGTGTTTAGGTGAGTATGGTTTAGCTTAGGTCAGTTACCTTCAGTGTGAAGTCAATGTAGTTTATAGATGATACAGATTTATATACGTATATATATAGATGATACATGTATATATCTATACAGAGAGAGAGAGAGAGAGAGCATACCGCACCACCGTTTGTCCTCGCCGCAGCACCGCCGCAGCACCGCACCACCGTTCGCCGTTCGGCTTTGCAGGGATTTGGGGGAAAGAAATGGGTTTCACAGATTTAGGGATTTGGCTATAGGTTTCACTTTTAATCGAGCGGCAAGATGAAGAGCGGGGAAAAAAAAATTCACTTTTTGCGACGGTAGGTTTTACACCGTCGCAAATGTCAAGTACTTTATTCATAAAAAGAAGCCGTTTAACTTAGACTTATTTGCGACGGACAATTGCCGTCGCAATATGTAAAATATTTGCGACAGCAGCCGTACGCCGTCTCAAAACATTGCTTTTGGCGACAGTAAAAACATCCGTCGCTAATACTGATGCATTTACTTCCTATCCGTGCATTTTTTATTACCGACGGGGACAACGCCGTCGCTAAAGCCCGCATTTGCGACGGTTTAAGCTGCCGTCGCAAAAAACCATTTTTTGCGACGGGAAAATTGCCATCGCTAATGCTTCCGTGTTTTTTACCCCCTTTTCTTGCAGTGTTCCCCTCTTATAGTGAAAACACAAAAAAATGTGTTCATTGTTATCATTTGACAAAGTATAAATGTACCTATTAGTTATTCCCCCATTTATTTGAATTTAAAAATTGTTAGCATTTATCCTCTACAAAATTCACCTATTCTCATCTTCCCAAATGCACTCAAGAAAACAAGAGGAACATCACCTTAAGCTCCCAGATAGCAAAAAGCTGAAAACATTTTTTTGGCATTATTTAACAGAAACCAG